TTATTAAATGGCTTCAAACACGACTACAAATTCAATAGATATAATGCCTATTAGTATTCTTTATATAAAGAATACTAATTAGGAGTGTTTTATCAGGTTTAAAGCCACTGCACGTGACATATTATGGTTGACATGATTTGCCAATAAGCTTATGAATTATTAATGAGTGTTTGAAGTACTACTTAAAACACGAGCAGGAGTGCTTTATCAGATATAAAACTCGAGGTAACAGCCGAGAGTTTTATATCTGATAATGCACGGACTGCGAAATAATGACCAAAAATCTCCGTATTTGCTCAGCTATTGAATTAATATGACGATTTGTTGTTAGAAGTTGGCTGTTAGATATCAGAAACCATAAATATTTTAAATAAATAATAATACAAATGATTAAACTTGCCAAACTTGCCCCCCAAGCCGTTGTTAACCTCGCACTGCAATTTAGTCCATCTTATTCTCCATCACTTCAGCTATTTGTTTTGAATCTGATCTTTTATTCTTCCTATCTTTTCATTCATTCGTTCGTTCGTTCGTTCGTTCGTTCGTTCGTTCGTTCGTTCGTTCGTTCGTTCGTTCGTTCGTTCGTTCGTTCGTTCGTTCGTTCGTTCGTTCGTTCGTTCGTTCGTTCGTTCGTTCGTTCGTTCGTTCGTTCGTTCGTTCGTTCGTTCGTTCGTCCGTCCGTCCGTCCGTCCGTCCGTTCGTTTATTCATTCGTTCGTTCATTCGTTCGTTCATTCATTCGTTCATTCATTTATTTTGTCTTTCTCCCTCGTCCAAAAATATTCTGGTTATGTAAACATTTTCCGGGACCAAATCGTCCACAGGTTTAACAAGCTTCATGGTAATTGGCTTCAAATGATCAATCATTACGAATATTCGAATGACATGAGACAATCAGGGCCGTAGCTAGACCGATCATTGGGGGGGGGGGGTGCATATCCATATATTACTGTTCTGCCCGACGGATTTCTTTTGAAAGCGATTGTTTTTACGGTATGTGAACATGAATATATGAATATACCCCCCCCCCCCCAATTATCGCGTCTAGGTACGGCTCTGGAGACAATGTTGCAAACGTTACTGATAATTGAATTATCCAGGTGCTGATGTCGCCCATCCCGCGCAGGGGACAAATCTAGTCCATCCATCGCAGCAGTGGTAGCCAGCAAGGATCTTCAGCCAACCCTATACAATGCCGAAGTCCATATTCAGATGCATCGTCAAGAAATGATCGAAGGCCTAAACGAAATAGTTAAAAGTCTTCTGAAGAAATTTTATGTGTCAGTGAGAAAAAAACCAATGAAAATATTTTTTACCGGGATGGTGTCAGCGAAGGTCAATTCAGAGATGTACTGATCCATGAATTGTCGGCGATTCAAAGAGCATGCCATGAAATTGAAGCTGACTACACTCCTGCTATAACCTTTATTGTTGTGCAGAAGCGTCACCATGCTAGATTTTTTGCTGTCGATCAGAAAGACCAAAAAGGGAAGAGCAGGAATATCCCAGCAGGTACAGTTTTTGGTAACTGAGTCTGTATTAGTCTTGCTGGTAGTAAAACAGTAGTAAGTCTGTTACCGTCATCAATATTGTAACAAGGTGATAACAACTTGTTCCGGACTTGTTACAACAACTGGGAACAAGCAGTGTACAACTTTGTAGGTGGGATTCACTTAGTGCGACACTTTCTAAAAGGAAAGATAGTTATAAAGTGTCCAAATGGTGTTTATGTCATGGGTTGAAGAGCAAATACATGTTATGGAAACACTAAGAAGAATCATTTGCTTGCTCTCAGTGCCAATCATTTGTGAGCACCATATGTGTAGATCATATATAACACTTAACTGAAACCCACAATGTAAATAAGTTAGCGAGTGTTAATTAAGTCAGCAATTTTATGATCATTGTTATATAGGTACAGTGGTTGATACACAGATCTGTCATCCGTTTGAATTCAATTGGTATCTATGCAGCCATGCTGGTATACAAGGTACCAGCAAACCAGCACTCTACCATGTATTGTATGATGACAGCGATTTCAAGTCAGACGACTTACAGATTCTAACATATCAGTTGTGTTACACCTATGTGCGGTGTGCAAGGTCGGTATCCATCGTCGCCCCGGGCGCCCACCATGTTGCGTTCAGAGCCAGACATCATTTGAAGATGGACAGTAGCACTGAAGGAAGTACGGTATCTGATGATTCAGGACCCAAAGAAATCACCCAAGAAATGAGAAATTTGGCCAGTGTTCAAACATAAGGGAAGTCGCCCGCAAACATAAGGGAAGTCACTGAGTTTTTAGTTCAGTCTTTGTGCAGCACACACTATGGACTAATATGACTAAAGTATTCATTCTTGAGTACACAATTGCCTCAGGTATGCATTCCATAACACGACTTTATGCTAGCTGTAAAAATTTGTACAAGATTGCATTTTTTAAGGATTCTTCAATGGTGGGGCAAAACTGCCAAAGGGCCCATTTTCCTTACCCTCCCCCCAGGATATAGTATGCGATCGCCGAAGGTGTGAGCCGAGTACAGCAGGCATGAGTTAGCTAGGGGGGTCTGGGGCATGCCTCCCCCAGGAAATTTTTAAAATTTGGGTCTCTGAAATAGCATTTCCTGCATTCTGAGAACACATTTTAAAAAAAAATCTCAGATTCTCAAAACAAAGTTTTAATGGTGAAATTTGTAATAAATTGCACGCTAAACATTCAAACACAACATAAGTTTAAGTATGTTCACCAACAAACTTTGTTTTATAAACTTCTTTTCAATGTTAAACTCATTTACTCAATACAGTTCCTAGGGCCCTGGCTTTGAGGCAATAGGCCTTTTTTATCAGTTGTGGGGCAGAGGAAGGGGGCCAGTGGGGCAAATGCCCCACCAGTCCATGGTATTAAAAAATGCCTTGAACCTGTATTGCATGTACCGAATTGTAAAAAGAGTTGAAAACCTGCAAAGATAAGATAACTATGCAAATTATAATTGCAGATATATTTCACCCGATTATGTCCAGTAGATTACGAAAACCATCCTTGGTTAATACATATGTACCTGGTTCGGAACTGCTGCTCCACATAGTTCTCACAATAAGTATAATTTAATGACCTTTCATTCCTGCTATTGGTGGAACATAATTCAAATAATTATTCTAATAGTCATCTACCAATCAAAGTTGGTATCGCTAAATACAAGAGACGTATATCATACCTACTCTGGGACCTAAAGTCGCCGTAACTTTGGGCGACTTAGGAAAAATATGGCAAAACCTCAAGGCGATTTTGGGCGACTTTAGGTCCCAGAGTAGGCCTTATATCGTTCACTCAAGCTTTACTTCATATTCAGGCCGAGAGGCCCCAAGTCGAGGATGAGTGCTCAGTGCTGTCATTGAATGGTTGGAGGGGGAGAGGATGAGTGCAGTGTCATACTCAGTAAGGATGAGTGGAGACTCAGTGACTGTTGAGTTGCACTTATTGCGACTCACTGAGTGTGAGGGAGATTTTAGAATATAATACAGGCGTTAGCCAACAAAGGTATAGGATCCTTGAGCGTAATTAAACATTTTCCACAACATTTAAAAGAATCGTAAATGTATAGTTTAATGCTCTTTTTAATTATTTCATAAATTTAAATATTTATAATGTCTAAATAAATTCAACCAAATAATTCAGCGTGATATCTACATATTTAAAAATAAGCTGTGGCTACAAAAATAGTAGATCAAAATTTTATAGTGAAATAATTTCTTACAACAATTTCTTACTGAAAATAAAAAAAATGCTTAGTGTCGGCATTTTGCTTATCTTTGCTTTTGAAAAGCAATCAAACGTCATTACGTAAAATTATTTGTATTGTTGGTGCTGCATAAATAGATTAACATTTCATTCAATAATCTAGGTAATTGTCTAGTAACGTACTCTGTTGTGTTCCAAATACGCCCAGCTCAATCACGTGATAATTGTTTATGTGTATCAATTAAATAACTGATTATGCCATATCCCAATTATAACAAAAAGGCATTCCGAAATTCGGTTCATCGACTTCTGGCAAAAACATGCCAAGATAATCAACAAATGCTAAGGCACTGAGAACTGTTTATAATCAAATATTTGAATTAATTTCATGCCGCATATGTATATTAATGAGATCGTTTCCGCTTCATAATTGTCAAATAAAGTTTCCGTAGACTTCGCCAGTAATATTTTTCATCATGTTTTAATTAATTCAATTTGATTACCTCAATTTCCCTGTATGTATATTAAGCTCCACAAAGAGTTTATTTCTATAAATCTAAAGGTTCGTTTACGCCCGTGGGGACTTAATATACGTTTTCCATTAAAAAACAAGGGGGGGGGGGTTTACTTGAGAAGGGAGCTAAATAGTGTATTCACGGTAGTCCTTCAAATGGTTTCTAACTTGCTTCCATTTCTACCCTTCTTGCTTTCGCCATTTTTGTTGCTAGACTTCTCTTGAACCTCGTTTTGGCGGCAGATTCTGGATGTTTTTCTTGTAAATGTTTCATGTAATCTCCACTTTCTTGGAACGTCTCACCACAATCTTCACAAACAAAAAGTTTAGCTCTGCGTTCTCGGAAACCATATTCATAAACAACACCGTGCACTCGTGTTTTGTGAGCTTCAAGCGAACAACGTTGCGTAAATGCCTTATCACAGAGATTACATTTAAAAGGTTTGATACCAGTATGAGTTCGAACGTGGCGTTTTAGATCAAAGGTATCGTTGAAACCTTTATCACAATATGGACATTGATAACGTTTATAGAAAGAATGAGTTTTCATATGCCTGTTTAACAATCTTTGCAAAGCAAAAGTGCTTTTACATACATGACATTCATATTTTTTCTCTTTCCCGTCATTTTCCATTATAAGATGTTGTTGTAAGATCTGTGGAGCTGTCACGGCATTTCCATTGGTCAACGGGACAGTATTTGTGGTAATGCTTAGCGGTAGAGTACTGGAATCGGTTTTTCCATTGCGCATACGGTTCTGTCCAGAAATGGCGTCAGCAGCGGGAGGTATCTGTTCCTTGGGTAGGACGCGTGTGGGTAATATGGTATCATAATGGATATATTGTGGATAACAGAAGTTTGGATGGACATATTGTACAGGAATTGGTGTTGTGACGTGATCCGCTCTGATTGGTTGATGATTTGAGAAGACATAGATTGGCGTAGTTCCGGCTTGAAATAAATGACGGACATGGTTTGAAATAGATGATTGTGTAACTTTTTCATTGTCGACATCTTTTATTTCTTTCACTTTGGTCAAATTCTTAGGACTTCCATGATTCACTTTCCTCCCCTCTCTCTGTGCTTCTACTTCAGGTTCACTTTTTTCCTCAGTGGAATCTATATAACGAAGATTCACATGTTAGTTAACTTGTAGTATATATCAAAAGAAGCGGTCAAGATAGTTGCTGACAACTAGCGGGATATCCTAACATCTTTGGTTTGATGTACCAGTGCTGTCACCTAGCATCCCAAAAAATGAAATTTGGATGCCGGAAGTGGTGCGTAAATTACTTTGAATTTGTACTCGAGTAAAAGTAATTAACAATAAAACGACTTAATTGAGTAAGAGTAAAAAGTACTGGAGGCAAAACGTACTTAAGCAAAAAGTACAAAGTATCCTTAAAAAATCACTTGAAGTAAAAGTACTATTGTCTGTAGCGTGCCTAATATACAACATTTCACGGCATGGTCTACTTTCCAGACCCTGTTGAAGATATAAGAAATCCATTAAATAAATAATGCTTATACGTAAGCCACAAACGAAAGATCCCATACCAAAATTAAAATAAATCAGGAATAAATAAAAAAAGGAACGAAATACTTCGCCACAAAATGAAAATAACGAAGTAAAACGTCACTTCTTAATAAAACGACTTTGTTCCAAGTAAAAGTACTCCAGAAAAAGTTTACTTTGTTACATGCTGACTTCTCAAAAATAGTACTCAATTACAGTAACATTCGTTACTAAACACCACTGGATGCCGGAGTGGGACACTCAGAATTATTTCTATACACACAACGCAGGATATCCAATCTACAAATACGATGAGCTTTACGAATATGATTAGTTCCGAGTTTATCTGGATACCTTAACTTAGCATTCCTACACAAATAAATTGGGGCGGCGCTACAGGGGGGTGTGGGGGGCGGGGGGTGGAACCCCCCCCCACTCGTCAGCTAATCGGCAAATTGTTATCTCAGTCGGCAAAACTGGATTGGCTAAAGATAACCACTGAAGAAACCAAAATTGACCTCCTGAATAATTGAATTCAAACCGAATATCACGAATAGCATGCTTCAAAGAAACCACACATGCAGCAATGCAAATTTTTTCGAATACAGTATCTTCACTTCTGGCAGCTAGTCCAAAAACATAATATTATTGAAATCATAATTAGGTAATTAAATTTGTTTGGTTGTTGTTGTTGTTGTTGTTGTTGTTGTTGTTGTTGTTGTTGTTGTTGTTGTTGTTGTTGTTGTTGTTGTTTTTGTTGTTGTTGTTGTTGCTTATTATACTGTTCCATAAAAGAGGCAATAAAGTCGATTTTCCACTAGCAAATTTTCTCGCACGAAGCGACCTTTTTCCTTTGTCGGTATCACTTATTACGTCAGCAAGACGTGGCAAAAACAGTCCTCGAAAACGAGGTCGGCATTCGGCAATGCCGGGCTAAATGCAAATTTTTGCCCACCTTAATTCAACCAAAGTAAGAATTTTTTATGCTGACAGGTTTTAAAATGTCAGCGATTATAGAATTCGATTCGTAGTTCGATTAACTGAACACACTACGGTGTAAGGTTTAAAAACTGACGGGTATTGTGTATATACGTTAGATGTTTGAAGATCAAATTTCGCGCGTCTGGAGTTAAAATTTGGCTCCAACTTTCGAATTTTCCGGCTGTGGAGGTAACGTTCCAGTTATATTCCGATTTCAATGATTCGTAAATGCGTGATTAATAGTGCTCCAAGACGTGGAACAGATTTTAAGAAATGGCGAGATTTTGACTTTTCGAGGGCTGCAAAATGGATGCCGACAGGAATTTTGGATTTTCTGATTATGCGTGTCTCAGAATGATGCAAATGCCATTTCCGAGATTCAAATTTTAAAATTTTCCGTGCCTTCCCCCCCCCCAAATATTTCATAAAATGTCCGCCACTTGCATACACGGTGGCTTAAAAGGTCTTAAAACTGTTTATTCTACCGATAAATAAAGGGGTTTTTATTGACTGGGATTTCAATAACTCGGACTGGGATTTCTAATAAAAATCCAACTGGGACTGGGATTTTGCCAAAATTTCAGGTGGAAAATGGGATTGGGACCCCCCCCTTCAGGACCCTCACTATAGGCTAATGACTCGGCAAAATTACCAAACAACAGTCGGCAAAAGATCACTCACACCCCCCCACTCGAAAAGGGTTAGCGCCGCCCCTGCAAATAATAAGTATACTATTCATATGTTAATAACACATCACATGGCTCATGTTGTGTGACGTTCACATTAATACACGCTTCGGGAAAGTATGTTATCTTGGCTATAGAGCCACGTTCTCGTGATTGCGACACTTGGCTTTAGCTAAGCACACGAAAACGAGCCAAGCCGCCAATTAAGGTGACGTACTTTCTGGAAGTGGTGTATTACACTACATATAGATCTGTATTACAATACACATGGTCTGTATTACAATACACATGGTCTGTATTACAATACATATAGATCTGTATTACAATACACATGGATCTTTTTTAAATACTGTTTATATTCAATCTCGATTGATGACTAACTGTAGCTTACGCTGATGAGATCGTGAATCTAATTTTATATATCCTTACCAACCCTGTCAATGTTTCCTGTGCGAATTAAGAAACCACACTGAATCCACCCTGTCAAAATTCTCTGTCTACCCGGAAAAAAACCAACGACACTCTCGGCTTTGCGTTGACTTTTTCACATGAATGTTTTGAGATTTATTGGGGGCATTGTGCTGAGCTAAAATCGAAAACGCCCTGATGACTGAAGCCATGGGCAGGGGCGTAGGAACGAGGGCATTGCGTCATAAGAGCATGCATCTTCCATTAGAAAAGAATACTGATTTCCACTGTTTCATCTAGAAAAAAGAGCGTTTAAAGGAAAACTTAGGGCGGGAGTGTGTCTTTCAGTCCTTACGCCATTGTCCCCAGATGTAAAAATATATTTCTTATATAGACCATTGTCAACCTTTGCCTAAAACTGTCACATGCAACCTGCTCACAACTTGAGTCGTACTGTGTGAATGAAGCACACAACTCGCCTACGTTTTACACAGTAGCTACAACTCAAGTTGTAAGCAGGTCTTTAGTTTAGTTTAACTTAGCAACTAACGAATGACCTCTACCAATCTCCTGATAACCCGGACAAAACCTATGTTATCATGACTAGAAACATAATATCATGGTAATTTACTTCAACACTAATTGTGTTTTGAATCACAATGTTGATCTCACAAATGTGAACAGACATGTATTTAATGAGCATAAGCGTACGGGTCTGATACCTTCCGGGGGGCCACTTGAAAGTTTGCCCGAATTTTTGTCAAATATTGAAATGAAATGACCAAAATTTAACATAATTTGTGATATATTTGCCCGAATTCTATTGATTTTCCCTAGCATTCCATTCCCCGACTTTCCATAGTTTTCAAAAAAATATTTGGGCCTCCCCTTTATTAAATGAGCCCTATATATATATATATATATATATATATATATATATATATATATATATATATATATATATATATATATATATATATATATATATATATATATATATATATATATATATATATATATATATATATATATATAATAATATTTAATATTTATATTGCGCAAATTAACATGTTATAGTATATGATCAAATGCGCATCACAAAACATAATTACACTAAAATTATTCTATGCTGAATGGTTACTAACTAAAAATATAAAGAAGATTATATAGATTATATATATATATATATATATATATATATATATATATATATATATATATATATATATATATATATATATATATATATATATATATATATATATATATATATATATATATATACTCAGATAAAAAAGCTGGAGTTTTGGTCAAAATGTCTGGGTGATTGGCAAGTTATCATAACGTATATATTACAACTAAAATTAAAACTGTTCTCACCAAGGCGAAATGCGAACTATGCGGTATAGGCGGATATCATCAGAGACGGCATCTGGAAAGGTTCACAATGTGGTCATTCATTTTTCAATCCCGTGTTCAATTGTTTTGCAAAACTACAAGTTTTTACGAGATAACATAATCTAAAATATCGCCATTTTTCGTCCATTAATTAAATCCCAGAATTTCGTTTCTAGACTTTTATCTTAGTCGGTATGATTTACTTATGCAAATCGGTTTAAAAACGTTTGTACTGTACAGATGAAGCATGAAGGCCTGTTTTAAATTTGCGTCATTCAGTCTTGTTATATGCTTCTGTCCATACTTTGCCTCATTCGTATACACGCCAGTATTAACTATCACTTTATGCTCATGCAAGTCAGACCGCCTGAGATATAGATTATAGGAAAAATGTAAAATACCAAAATTATCACTCAAAGTGAACATGATTGAATCATTTACAGAGCGCGCCAAGGATCAAAACGACAAAAGATATCTAAAAAGAACTACTGAGAACTGTAATATAAAACAGACGCGAGAGTTTGGAGAAAGTAAGACTAAGCCGTAAGTAATCCGTCAGTGTAGGTAGTGACTAGTGTGGCAATATAAATAAGAAATTGCTGCGCGGATGGATAGGGATACAAGTCATACGTGCAACTACCGTATTTTTCATTTCTATGATCAACTGCAGCTCTCTAAGTCGTATAAGAAGACAAACGTTTATAACTATAAAATAGAATAATTCGAGGAATGATTAAAATTACAAGATTTATTCATAGACATATAGTTATACTTTCCGATTTTCCTTGCTGCAGCTAGATAATAAAATTTGACACTGTGTCTATTCTGCCATTTGTTTATCTACAGTTTTAGTTTATTTCAGGCTACTATGTGCAGTTTATTTATCTATAACTGTGCATATCGTATATGAAATCAAATTTATAAGCAGTTTTACTGATTACTGACAATCTATATCCTTAGACCTTACAGTAAGGCTTAGGTCTTAATAGTCTATAAATATAATCTATATTTCTTTTGTTGTAAAATTGATCTGCCGGGGATAAAACGTCGAAAAACTTGTCTTTGGCCCTTTGGAAGTTTGGGTTAATATGGCATGACTCACATGAGCTACTATAATACTAGAAGTCATGACATGACTCATGAGTCATGTGAACCATGGCATGTCCATGATTATATTAAATATATAAGATTGAAAATGATCGGAAGCATCTAGCTGAAGTTGGCCCAATATTAAAAAATATTTCAGGTTCTAACATATGATTACAATAAAAACAATACTTATTTGATATTTCAACATAATGGTATTTAGTTTTGAGGACACCTGAAATGTTTAATTTGATCCTTGTCAAGTGCAATAACTCCAATTTCCGTGCAACAATTGATTGTTTTCCTCTATAATCAATACACCTACATTTAGATGCGAGAAAATTTTCATTCCAAAACAATAAGAAGTTTTATTTATACAATACAGCTTGGACTGCTAATATTTTCAGTAAGCTCAAGTGGCTGTGTTATTAAAACTGAAACACGTATTGTTTGTTTTCACTTCAAGTTGAAAGCTAACACCTGAACTTGAATACTCGAGCGATGTGTCCGGGCAAAAACAGTATGTGTTAAGACAGAGAAAGTGTGAAAAATAAACAATATGTTGCATGATATTCAAGAAAAATATCAACAATTATAGCCAAACTAAAAATATTTTCTATCTGAGTTGACAAAGGTTTGAAATGTTAGAATAACCGTTAAATATTTAGCGGAACAGTAAAAACACCATGACTTGGTTATTTTAACAATCTGACCCCCACTGTTCTGTTTCGCAATTGTAAATTTTTACCTCAAAGTCCAACACTTCAAAATTATTCGAGAAAAAATAACAGAAATCAAGAGATTCACAACACAGCAGGCTTTAAAACCTTGGCAGTTTTTCAACTTATAAGCCGTTAGAAAGTGATTTTCACAAGGGAAATCAATAATTCCCGCAAAGGTGCTTGCCTAGTCATGTTTCCTGTCCAGTCAAGACGGCCTCTTTTGTAATTTAATCTTTGCCATACGGCAGACAAAATGTTGAATATTGTTAGAGGTGACTAACTGGTTATTTTAGCATTACCGTTATTACGGTTTTGACCTTGCCATGCAATAAGGCCAGAGTCTTTGGAGAAGTACGTTTATCACGAGATCTTAGTTATTCACTTATATAGTTCAAAGTACATGACCGGTGTCAAGGTATTGACGACAATATTTATACAGTATCAGCAATATACTCTAGTTTGACACCGCTATAAGTAATCTGAAAGCAACTGTTGTTATACCACATGACTCGCAGAATCACGCGGAAACACGAAACTGCAAGTATATATCAGAAAAGAAACTTGCAATAAAACACTTTCGTTACATTTCATTATTCTTTGTCATAAATCGTTATTAATAAGTAGACAGATAATAATCAGTTTGTAAAACCTTTAAAGTGAGATCGAATGCTTTTATATATTTGATCAACACTCTGCTGACATGGTCACGGACGTTGATGCGTACTGTCTACTGAGTTTAATTTGCAACACAATTGAAAATTTGAATATGTATCAATTAAAGGATCGCAGAACTATCACTGACATTGTGCTAGCTCACCACCCCCAACTGAACGTTGAGTTTAACATCGTTATCATCTTAAATACATGTACAATACTACAATTGTACAATGATCTTTATAGCATCTCACACGAGAACGTCGGTCATGTTTCTTTTTTATAAAATGAATAATTTAAATAGCAAAAATACGTGTCGTGACATATTCCTATGGCTATACTAAGCTTAGCACTTTTAAGTAAACAAACCAACTTATACATAGAAAGCTGTAAGAATATGGCCATTTTCTTACTTTTTGAACGGATTTCATAACACATAACAAACTCAGCTTTTTCAGGCGTAACTTTAGATCATCCCGTGATTAACGAGTGGCCTTACAATGCTTTCGCGTGACACTGTGATCTTTTAGATCATAACTCATATTAAGGGAGGTTAACACCGTTGGCGTGAAAGAATATTTTTAATACAAATTGTCATGCAATATATTTTACTATTGAAACCATCTCTTTTTATTTTATTTAACCGTCGAAAATCCCATGGCATGACTCCCAGGCTTGTCGAACTACAGCATTCTAACCGAAATTAACATATGCAAATGCTATAATATAGACCGTTATGATATATGCCCGGGATAAGTGATTCCAATATTCAACTGATAACGGTGGTATTAGACATTAAAACTACTCCAATGAACAAGAGCAACAAAACTAAACGGAATAGCTAAAACAAGAAATTTTTTATTAACATTTGATTTGTACCTTCGTCAGAGTATCTCTTCAAGTCGTCCTCTTTCAACTGTTTACATATTTTCCTTTGCTTGACGAGAAATGATTTCGGCATTCTTGAGAGGGAATAAAGTATCTTAGATGATATAGTTTACAACGACTTGAGGTTTAACACTCTTGTGAGACAGGCAGCTGACGTTTCTCCGTTATGTATGAACACTTCTTCCTGGTGTTGTATGGCACTCCACGTAGCGTGCGGTTATGACGGTATTAATGATACGGCAAGGAACCACTTGTGCTGTTGTGAAATAAGGGTAAACAAAGTTAATTAATTTAGTATTTACATGCTGTTATATTTTAATACAATTATTTATATTTTCCATGCACTATGCTGCATTTCCTCTCATTCTGAAAACTCTAAGCGTAATTTCATACTTACCTTCAACCGTACAACGCTTAACTGTGTGTTGAAAACCTTCAAGTCGAAACACGACTGCAAGTTTCCACTTGTTCCTTTAGAATGTGAAATTTGATATTTCCTAATGCAGTGCATCAAGCGCTATTCCAAATAACGTTAAGGTCATGGCCTTCAAGCGTTTTAAGTAGATCTGTTCTATTTCAAATCACGGCTTCAACTGGACTTATTTCCCTTCAAAGACGGAATGAAACTGTTCTTATTTTCACTTCCTTTTACTGTGATATTATTTCATTGCATGACAACTTTCGTATTCACTTTAATCTAATTTCCTGTGAGCATGCTATGAAGGCATGGCGGCATAAAACTTGTCTATCACATGCTTTCAAATTTGATTCCAAAGTAAACGAAAAACGTTCTGCATGTATTTATTCAAGAACCATTAATTTTACTCTTTTGTCTTCTGTGCTAATCTTAAACTATCCAGGGAGATTATAAAATTAAAAATACTTCAGTACATGTAGCAAACGGAATGTGTTCATTCTTGTACAGTTATTGACCTTATCAAATGACAGAGGGTCGGCAACAACTTTCAGCGTAAATATACGGAACGGCAACAGAAATCTGTCAGAAAATGCGCTGTAAAGTCACTGATGTGGACATGCTCTATGATTTTGTCTATCAACTGACATTTTGACACCGTCCTACGTAAAATTACTTGGTAATGAAGTTCCAAAAAAAGTTCGTGTTTTGTAACTTGAAGGGGCATGCTACTCAAAATATTTGCTTTACAAAGTCTTAATTAATACCGTCTGTATCACAATCCAGCTGTCCAGACCTTGGCCTCACACATGTTTAATCTCCCCTGGGCTCAATATATCAACACCTAACGGCTTTTGCGTGCTGTAACGGAAAATGCGGCGCTAACTCTTATTTGCCTTGCCATGCAATGCCAGTGGAAAATGGAAAAATATACTGAGACATTAGAGAGGAGAGGTTATTCATAATATATAGTGTCCAATGTCCATACTATAGTCATACTCAATCTAGTCTCTAGATCATATTCTTCCCCTCGAAGACTGCCCATAGCCATAAGGCGAGCGTGCTTTCTAAAAAGTCGGACAGCATCGTTGGTCCACGGTATAAAGGATCGAGGTTAAGGTGACATCTGTTCAGTCTTGGCTGCATTCCAGTCATGCTGAGAAAACTGCATATCGACTATAGACGACAAAGGTCATACGCAATTGAACAAATTTACAGTACTGATCACTATATACTTTTCGATATCCATGCATGCTTTATTAATTTAACGCCAGAACTTTGCCTTGTTGTGCTGAGTTATGAAAAGTAAAATCGTAATTCACATTGCAGTCACATGCAGTACAACGAATTCGCAGAATAAGTTCTTCCAGCGAGGCAGCGACTTCATGCGATATTGGTTCGGTGAAGCCGAAAACCGGATGAGGAGTCACACTCAAACGAACTAACCAGTTAGCTTGCGTTTAGTTTTGCTGTGACCATGCAGCCGGACGATGTAAACGGAAAGCGCGCAGTTGCTTGTGTGAACTGAAATAGTATATGACTATAGGTAAGGAAAGACAAAAGTGAAAAGGCAAAAACGAAGAAATACTGGACAGTGAAGTATGCGACATTAGCATCTGATAAATACAAGCGTAAACTATAAGGCCAATAATTAAAGGCATTTCATTCTGTTTTGAAACGTCCATTTTTCGTATTTTTCTAATCCACCCCCCTAAAATGTTCCAGTGCCCCATATATTTTACATTTTAGCGGCTTTTTCAGTGACGAGAGTTAGGACTCAGTTATTGTTAAGAGCGAAGACAATAACGGCAATATTAATAACATATAACCCCGAAAAAGATACCGGACTGAAAAGCATTCTATATGATTTTATATGATTACTGATTAGAACTGTCCCTGCTCGAAACGTCAAATTATTTTTAATGTGTTTTTTTCAGTTTGTACAGACATAAACCACAGTCGTGAAAAGGATCTCTGCTAGCCGGTAAAATCACGGCAGCTCGAGTTATAGTTATATGGAATAATACCAAGGCTTTATGGACTCGCGTTTTATTAATAAAGGATGGCATATTACATAAATAAGCGTTCAACTGCTCGTTTGAACTCGCATGTGAAAGAAATTAAAAATTACTTAATTAACCTGTTCAAACATGCATGATGTGAAAGTCGTTTGAAGTTCATGTTTCCGGGTTTACGATAACTATATATGTAAATCTTTTTCAAGCACTCGTGATCACATGACATATTGCACAATCATTTTCGTAATCCAATAAAAAATAGATGATCTTGATGTCCTACATGGCATGTATTTCATGTAGTTTTGCGCAAGACTAGTACTGGCAAAACGGATTATCACCCGAAGTACATGTAATTATGTTATGAGTTATACAAACAAGCTATGTATCCTTGCAGAAACTAAAAATGAATTTTCGAACTTGTACAAATGTACAATGACACGTTCAAAATAAAAACATATTTTCTATCAAGAGGACTCAGCGCCTGGTCCGTCTCCTCCCCGGGTTCGCACTACAGGCCCGCAAATACAGTTACTACTGAAGGTTAAAACGCTTTATTGTTTTAACGGGCCATTTACTTTACAGTTTATCCCATGGCCACACACACAGATAATGATCAGCTCACACGGTGCGGAGTTTAATTTTCAGAAAACAAATATAATATCGCTGACAGGTTATTTTAAACTCGTATAAACATTCGGTTGACACTGCAGTGAGGATACCAACACGAGAATACGGACGACGGGCAAAAGGAATATACCGCGGAAAAGAGGGGGAAATGCGGACTATTCTCCCAGGCCTAATACAAAAGATGGACTAGGCTAAACGATTTACCTACCATAAATATAAGGCAAAAACGCCACAAACGTATTCGTGTTTATTTGACTTTCTCTCGAGAATGGTTCATATATCGGCATTTTATACTTTTTGCCCACCATCCGCATTATTCAAATATTAATATAAAGCCTAAAGTCAGTAGCCATGTATATGTCGCACGAGGCAATCTTTCATGGAAGTTCTTTGTGAAAAATAATTTTGCAAGTTGCTGAATGTCAGACGATAACCCCGGCTCTCTCCTCTACACTGGGAACGAGGTTGGTAAGACGAGTGAAACTTGTATTGCGATCTGCAATGCGACTAGATTTGCCAAATAATTTTTGATTTGTTGATTTTTCAAATTGCAAGGCAACTCAATGCATTCAAGCGAATTAGGCAACGCAACTAATAATTTCATTTCGTCTGTTAAAGCCCCCCCCCCCACCCCCTCCTCCTCCCTCCCTTTCCTAATAATCCGAAATAAATCTACGAAATCAACATCTCTCTTATTGATCTTACGTCAATCTTAAAAACCTTGACTCTCGCGCATGCATTACACTTTTGTACATGCAGGGTGTCAGCAAATAATCTTTTGGCTTGTCGCTAAGAAGTGAATGGCGAAGGACGCAGCTGAATAAAACGCGACCGAGTTGACTGGCGTTACTATGACGCTGCCACGACCCAAATCACGGAGAGTTCACGCGTGCATGCAGAAGGTCAGAAGAATTAGTGTTCGGTGAGGCAAGAAAACAGGAGAACCGCCGAAAACAACTCTACGTACATGTGTTTTAAATCACGCGAAGCCCTTGTGCCCACTCAGCCAGTAAGCAGGTTTAACTCAACTGTAAAGGCCGATTTCCACTAAGGTGGAATTTTCCGCGCGGAGCGGAATTTCTCTTTGTCTTTTCTAATTAGTTCCACCCGAGAAATCACAAGATAAAGAAAAATTCCGCTCCGCGCGGAAAATTCCGCCCGAGTGGAAAACGGCCTTAAGCCGTTAAGGGCTGCAGTGTGCTTGCCGTATCTGTTGTCTGAGCTTTCCCAATGAATAATGCAAGAATAGATTATATGTAAGGGGCTGTTCATATGGTCCCGCTTACCCGGGATTCAATGAAGTGTGATGTATTTTGAGCAATTGAAATACGTGTTTCAGCTCTAAACAAAAGTTAGATAACTTTAAATATTGTTTAAACGAAATTAGAAACGCGCAAGAAGTTATATAGTGGAAAAAGACGATTAATAACATTCAACAACATTTGTTTTTTGTCTAAAACATGGAATTTCATACAATTTGTAACAAGCAATTTTCAGTTAGATCATGAAGTGCGACTTATTTCAATTGCTCAAAATACGTCACACTTCATTGAATCCCGGGTAAGCGGGACCATATAATGAGCCCGTTAAAGCTATGAAATACTAGAGATAAAAAAAAACACTTTGATAGCGCTTCGAGCGAAGACCTTTTTGTTAAGAGGTTAGTAAGGCCAAGGGCAATTGGCTTAAACGTTGAAGAGTTTTTAAAAACATTTTTCTGGTAGTTCAGACACAAACAACTGCAAACCATGCACTTGTGACTATTGTAAACACTTCCCACACATTTGAGACAGGAGATTTTTACTAGATACTTACAACCATAATTTGAATTCGATTAAGAACAGATTCGTGGTTCCAACAGCTTTATGTAATCACCGACGATAAATACGTTTGCATGTGTACTGTACAAGAGAAAGGAAAGAAACGTTTATTTGACCATAGGTCCATAATTTTTACATAAAAAAATACTATGACAGGATTTTTTACAAAATTATCCAAACACACAGTTGGTACACATACCAATTTTACATTAACAGTTGGTATTCAAAACATATTAGATTAAAATTCATCACATTGAGAGGCTGATTTGTATAATTCGAGAACGATGGCTAATAGACACTTCCCGAATTTGCTTGAGTGCACACGAAACAATAGCTTGGAATCGAGGCGGACAATGTAATCCATTGGAAAACTATACTTATTTCCAATGGATTACATTGTCCGCCTCGATTCCAAGCTATTGTTTCGTGTGCACTCAAGCAAATTCGGGAAGTGTCTATTAGATCTGATAATATAAGAACTGTCCAAGTATAAAGTCCAACGAGCTTGAGTCATAACAAAACGGACGCGACTTCCGCACACAACTCGTGATGGTATGTGTACACAGGTAAAAATCTCAGTTGGGCTGCTGCATGTTCGTTACAAGTTGTGTGGTTCTACGCAGCCTCGTCCCCAGGCTTCGCCGTTTCGTGAGAAATGGAAAATTGGTCCACTGCCTTGCGTCGCGCCACGAAGCCAGGAGCCTGGGGACGAGGCTGTGGTTCTACGTGTGTAGCAATCTCGTACCCAGAGCAATGCCTGTGCGCGGGCTAGGTTGGCATTGGCTCTGGGGAAATTGACAACTGGAACCCCTAAATTTAGGGGTTCCGGTTCTTTGTCGGCATGCACGATTGATAAACGTTAAACCAATGCCATCCTAGTTTACAGAAGCATAGAAGTAATATTTCAAATCCGAGTTCGTGTTTTAGACGTGGTTTCTAAATACAAGTGCCATGAACAATGGCGAGGCGCAGCCGAGCCATTGTTCATGGCACTGGGGATTTGGAAGCCAAGTTTAAAACACTAACGAGGATTTGAAATTGCTTCTCACACATCATTAGACTTTCATAGCAATGAGGCATGAAATTATTAGATATTCAAAAAAGTGAGCGTGGGCATTAACGATTACATTCGCTTGAAAGTTTGCATGAAGCGCAACGAAGCATTCAGTTCGCTTTCGTCGTGAATAGATGAATTTTGTTGGCAAAAGAGCATGGTATCTTCTTATAATATAAGAAAAAGCGGTTTCGAGAACCAGAAAGTGTTGAGCACAGCATTGTGCACAGTATTGTCGCTTGGCTGACAAGGTTGGGGATCCGAAAAGCGATATATCAGATTGTGTGTGCGATAAGGCGCTATGTGGTGGAAAATGAAAGAGCCGAAGTGAATATATATTTTATAGACGGTAAACATTACTGGTAAGTTGCTGTATTATAGTGTTTAAAGCGCTGTTTATTATGATAGTTGGTAAAAAAGTTGGTTTTCCTATATTTATGTAGTTTTCAAACGTTTAGGAAAAGTGTTAGCTATAAAGTGTAGTTAGAATAAATTTCTAAAATACAACTTACTGTATTTAGAAATAATTCTAAACATAGCAATTAAATATATTTGCATAATCTTTTGTTTACGCCTCAATTTCCCTATTGTTCAAAGCCCTTCCCACTTGAAGTAATTGACCATTTGCGTAATAGACTAAATTTTGATCTCTACAAAAATTTCATTACAGCTTGAAAGAGCATCACAAAATTAGTAATATTCCAAAGTTTCGTTGCGAAATGTTGTAAAATGCGGAAAATATAGCCTTGCGAAATTTGCAATTTTCAGTCATTTTAGATTACAAACCGGAAATTGACAGCCTCGAAGGGTTTGGGGCTGTCAATTTCCCGTTTGTAATCTAAAATGACTGAAAATTTCAAATTTCGCAAGGCTATATTTTCCGCATTTTACAACATTTTGCAACGAAACTTTGGAATATTACTAATTTTGTGATGCTCCTTCAAGCTGTGATGAAATTTTTGTCCAGACTTGTTTAGTTCAAAATTTAGTCTATTACGCAAATGGTCAATTAAAGTCCTGGTCTAGACGGGGTATCCAGATAGATACACGTGATGTAAATTAAACCATGTCATTGGCCGAAATGCTAGGAATATCTAATGATGTATGAGAATAAAGGTAACTATACCTTTGTTCTATTCTATGCTTCTGTAAACTAGAACAATAGTAAACTGCATGGGCATGTGAGTGATCTAAAGTTGTGAATTGGGTATAAACAAACGTTAGCCAAATTTGTCTATTTATAGGGAAGCCTCACAAGTCGATTTTGTCCACGAGAAACGTCATATGTTCGTTTGGGGGTGGGGAGGGTTGTAGCTGTGACGTTTCTCCGTAAAACATGGAAAAATTCGATAATATAAGCTTTCAGAATTATCTACACGAGTGAATATTTAATATTATACATAATTCTAATTCTTAGTTACCTCTGACAGCTCTGTCCGATGTTATGCTTCTGTAAACTAGAACAATAGTAACTAGACATGTGAGTGATCTAAAGTTGTGAATTGAGTCACAAAGATGTAAACTAGCTGGCCTTTAAGTCACTTATCATGTCATAACTTAGCATAACAATATCTGGAGGGCAAGAAAAATGCTCTGCTTTACCTTTGTTTACAAATCCCACAGCTCTCCATGAAGACACTTATTGCGCTCAACTATTGTTAGTCAAGTGGTAAGAGCCCATAAGCTCCCTGGAGCCTCTGAAGTCCAGGGTATACATGAGTTTCAAAAACAACATAGGCAAACTAGTACGTGCATATACAGTACTTAATGTCAATATATTGGTCAAATGTTCCATTGTTTTGAACATTTCGCGGAATATTTAAAAACAACAAAGCAGGATCTAAAACCGTTTGTGAAATTTGTCGATACCCACTCAATGTCAACAGAAAAAAGATTCTCTTGACATTTCGAGCAAAGACCTTTCATCAGCAGAGTTTCAGAATTTGTTGAATTCCTGGTCTGCCCACGATAACCTCGCATGCACCCTCTTGAAAATAACACTTGATTTTAAAATCTCGCCCATGCATTTTGTAGAGTAACACATTTCTCGAATGTTAATTTTCTGTTATTTTTTTACACAGAGCAGCAGCAGTAGTACGTGATCTCGTAATATGTTTAATCTGCACATGACGTTTTTCCTCAGGTTACAGGCATATGTAACAAAAATCTTCACATTTCAAATTTGGTGCAAATAAGCCCTAAAGGTGTGGCAGGGACGAAGCGAACATCTGGAGTTGGAAGGCGTGGGGGCGTAATAATTGTAACAGAGCTTTTTCTGAATGATTACCATTGTAATACTAAGCTATAACAGGGGTGTTTGAGGGTTGGGGTTATTTTTAAAGCGCCAGGACTACCTTTATGGCGTTTTCTAAAAAAATGTCAGTTATGTGGAGGTTTGTAAAAAGATCAGATTCTTTCAATATTACCAATGCGAATTCATTATACACATTGTACATGAATATGTCAAAATTTCAATATGAATTTCATCTGATGAGGGTTTCCACCATACTACCCGCTCGCTACGTCCCTGGTTCCCTGGTTGTGGTGAGGCATTAAAATGCACTTTCAAGACTAAATTTATTACACACAGCCGTTCGCAAACTTTTCCTCTACGATAGAAATGGTAAGGTTAGATTAAGGTTCTGCTAAACAAATATACTGAATTTAAACTATATTATACTGCATATATATATATAAGTACAGGGCAGTATATGTACAAGAACACCAGACAAGTGTTAGCGTATCAATGCATTGCTGTTTCCTAGCGTGGAACAATAATGTAAGGTTGAAACGGAACAAATGAACGTTTGTCGTGACATGTATGTATCCACTTGGGTCTCACAAATGTTAGTGAACTGTTGTCGACCAGAGCCTAGATGTAAGCAAAGAAAACTTTAATCTTTCATTGAACTTTGTAGCATATATTAACTGTTATAGCTAAAGTGTAAACTTTCTCAGGGACCTTTTTAACATATAAGCTGGAGGAAAGCCCCCCCCCCCCAATTCCGTGTTGGTCCCCTCTGTAAACTATTTTGGCCCCTCCAGTGAAGTCTCTTGTGTCTACAATATAAATAAAAAAGCAATGACTGACTTCGGACAAGTTTTTTCGCCCCCCCCCCTGATGAATTAATAAAGTTGCACTTTATTACACTTTTGTGATAAACTATCCCTTTACTTTAACCAAAAAGTGTGAGTTTTATCAGGAAAACACATTCAAGCTAATTCAGTTTCAGACCAATTGACAGAATATGTTACAAAAAAATTACGTGTAATTAAAATGAACATGTTACAAGCATGAATTAAAATCCAAACTATTACGTGCAACAGTAAAACATGTGCTAGTGAAAAGTCAGGAAAATTTCTTCGCTTCCTTGGGAAATGACTTCAAATGCAATCCAAAATGGTTTTGGTCCATACTGAAGCAAAAATCGAAATCGCGCAACATTGCAAACACTATCTCATCAGCTGCGACAAACATCGACCAAGAAGTGCACTCATCGAGAATCAGTGCTGAGAACCCTGTGGATATTGCTAACATGTTCAACAACTATTTTACATCAGTATATACCTCTGACAAGTGTGCCAACGCGAGGACACCGACTGCGAGCAAGTTGATCCCGTAACGTCAGACCTTAATTTAACGGTCGAGGAAATGCAAGCAGTGCTTGAAAACCTTGATACCACAAAAGCCACGGGAGCCGATAACATCCCTGCTCAAAGACAGCTCTCGTCATCTCTCCGTCTCTGTGCACACTATTCAATAAATTGTCGGATCAAGATGTTCTACCGGAGGAGTGGAAATGAGCAAACATCGTTCCAGTGCATAAGAAAGGCTACAGAGAATATACGGAAAACTATACACCAATCTCGATACTTCCGATCGTCTCAAAAGTCTTGGAACGTCGTGTTTTCTGTAACATTAAACACCACCTGTTCCATCTAGTACGGAAACTACAGCGTGGATTCATTTCAGGTACATCATGCGTAACTAACCTTCTGGATGTACTTCACTACATTGGCTCGGAATTGGACGCTGGAGGTCAGATTGACGCTGTTTACCTTTATATGTCCAAGGCTTTTCTCGTGGGTAGAGAACAGACTTACGTGGAATAAACAAGTTAACGAACAATCGATGAAAGCAAACTAACTACTAGGACAGGGCTCGAATTTTATCGCGGCAATTGCCGTAGAGGGATAACAAAATGCCGTGGACCATTGCGGCAACGACGGCAATTTTTTTGCCGTATAGTGCAATTTTTATACTATTCACTGTGCATTACTACTTTGATACTTGAATTCAGATGTTGATCAAATCATGTGTAAATCACTTTCTTATTCTCAATTTTCTTCGAAAAAAAACACTAAAGTGAAATACGTAGACATGTTTCTAGCTTGTCAAAAATCCAAAGTAACAATAAAATTAAAGTTTTATTACAGTAATTGCCATAGACAGCTGTTACGTTCTACGGCAATTTTTAACGCCATTGCCGTCGATTGATTTCAGGGAAATTCGAGGCCTGTACTAGGATACATCCGAAGATCTACCTTATATATCCACAACACAGCGGTGCGACGCGCGCTTTATCTGGCCCTTGTACGACCACACATAGGTTATGCAACACAAATATGGGCTCCACAGTCAGCTGAACTGATAAGGAAGATCGAGCGGACGCAGAGAAGAGCAACTAAATTCATCCTCGAGTTACCGTTTTCCTGCACTATGGACTATACTACCAGGCTCCAGTCCCTATTGCTCCTATACTCGTTTGTTACTGGCAAGAATACCTGGACATGGTTCCCTTTTACAAGATAATTCATGGACTATAGTAAACGTAAATGCTTCTCTCCTTCCAACCATCCGTACCTCCACACAAACTAGATCTTCAACCAGTACTACCACCAAATTTATTATTCCAAAATGTAAGACATGCATTCATCAAAGATCCTGGCTAACATCATACCAGTTTTCAAGAAAGGTGACAAATCCTTCGTTGAGAACTATCGTCCCATATCGCTCCTCTGCGTTGTATCGAAAGTCTTCGAGCGTTGCGTGTTGAACAAGCTGCGCGATCACCTGTTACAACTACTACACTCGTCACAACATGGCTTCACCCCAGGCAGATCATGTACCACCCAGCTTGTCGAAGTGCTGAACTACATCGGTTCTCTGTTAGACTCCGGGAAACAAACTGACGTTATCTTCATGGACATGTCAAAAGCGTTCGACAAGGTCAGTCATACTGCTCTTGTTAACAAACTTGCAAACTACAGTATTAGAGGGTCTCTGCTTAATTGGTTTTCACACTATCTACATGGCCGCCAACAACATGTAACTACTCTCGGTGCAACGTCTTCTAAAAAAACAGTTTCTTCGGGAGTGCCTCAAGGCAGTATTTTAGGGCCAATTCTATTCCTCCTCTACGTTAATGATCTTCCTGATGCTGTTGAGAACTCAAGAGTGGCTTGCTTCGCTGACGACACCAAGATCTTCCGTTGCGTCGACTCTATCTCCGATGCTGCATTCCTCCAAAGCGATCTAAGTAACTTAGAAAATTGGTCTACATGCATCCAGTGGTCTCGTCTTCAACCAGCTCAAATGCAAGTGTCTGCGCGTGACTAGGAAAATCCAGCCTACTACTTATCCATATAAGATCAAGGATAAGGAACTCACAACAACGTCGGTTGAGAAGGACTTAGGAATTTGGGTTGCCAGTGATCTCACATGGACCAAGCATGTCTTAGAACGTTGTGCGAAAGCCAACAAACTGCTTGGTTTCGTGAGGAAAAGCGCTGGAGAAATATCCAACTCACGGACCCGCCGGAAACTGTATCTCTCAGTTGTCCGCCCGGTTTTTGCCTACGCAAGTCAAGTATGGTCTCCCCAGACTATAGGTCTAATTAGACGAATAGAACGTGTACAGAGAAGAGCGTCAAAATTCATCCTGAACCTTCCCTACTTGTGCGACGAGTCCTACCGCGACAGGCTGATCAGTTTGGAACAGATACCACTATCATACTGGCACGAGTATATGGATCTTGTGTTTTTCTTTCAAGCTGTAAACGGTCTGATCGACGTATCTAAAGATGTTCTCCCTCAACCTATTATTCCCACCCGAGTTACCCGATCATCCAGTACCACTGAGTTGTTGTTCCGCCCCCAAAAATGCAGAACTACCACCTTCCAAAAATCATATTTCACCCGAGCCACAAGAGTTTGGAACTGTCTTCCAACGAACTTAAGACAGCCAAATATGTTGTTAAGTACATTTAAAAGATTGCTACGGAACTATTATTTGGAAGCCCTGCATAGTTGTTATGATGCAGAGGTCCAAAAACGTGGAAATCTGTGTGTTTAAACTGTAACTCTTGTCGTAGTTTGAACAATGTTATAAATTGTTGTTTCTAGTTATTATATATTAAAAGGGCCCACAGTAATTGGTTTTAACTGTTGTGGTGTCCCAGCCATCTGACTGTATGTATTGTACTGTACTGAACTATATATATACTGTACTGTCTTGTGTTAGATTGTATCGTTTTGTTTTTTTGTATTGTACTGTATGGTATATATAAATGGCGAAGTTATATAAATAAATAAATAAATAAATAAATCCTTCTTTATTCGATCAACTCGTATCTGGCATCTTCTCGCTGATGAGAAAGACTGGACACATGTGGCTTTTCCACATTTAAAATAGTCATTTTTAATTATTACAGTGGATCATTAAAAATTACTTGTTATAATGTTGACGATCCTCGTTCGTATAAAACCATTTGTCCAAAGTGTAACTCTGTTCGTAGTCTCCTCATTCCGATCTCATGCTGCATGTAGAGGTTGTATTGCTGTTATTTTCCATTTGCTTACTGTATGTTGTTAACGTTATTGTATTTGGATGTAATTTTTAATGTTAGTCTAACGAGGCCGCAGTAATTGGCTCGCGCTGTTGCGGGCTCCCTGCCTTTAATTGTACCATAACAATGCAAAGCTAATAAATTAAATTAAATATGATTGCATCATACCTCATCAAAATTATCATCCCAATTCTCATTAGTTATCACGTATTTCACAGTGTCACTCATATATTCCTCCAGCTCACTATAAAGAAATAAAAAAAACTAAACACAGAGGTAGCAGAATTGTAGATATAACATTCTATACTATTCGCCAGGGAGGGAGGGAGGAAGGGA